GTCGAAAATTTGGGAGAGCATCAACGGCCATCAAAACTCACAGGCGCCATCATCATTAGCATCACTGGGTACCTCCCATCAAAGCCTAGACTGTAGTTCAAATGCGTTCTGCCTCAGACGACAAACGCCTCCAAAGTCGAAGGCGCAAAAATCTCTTCTGGCAGCCATTTCTTTTTAGCAAGCCCCTGGGAAATCGTAGAGGTAAGAAAATGGAAATCTTCAAAGACGGACGAGAAATTAACCTGTTTGAAGGAGTAATCGAGGAATTTATCCAGGGTCTGCCGATTTTGCGGAGTCAGGCCGTCCTGCCACCATTTGTCCTCGCCGTCACCGCACATCACGGCCTGGGTCTCTTCGACGTGGAACTGTAACCACGGTAAAATGTACCTACAGTAGCAATACAATAGGATGGGTCCAGGGCTCAGAATTGATGCCCGAGATATTCTGGACCAGAGACGAACCTTAATGCACCGCGTTCATGAATAGCCGCGTATGCGTACTCGAACGAAGCGGCAAACGCTTTCATCAGCGAACGGGCAACCCAGGGATGGTCCTTTAGAATGGATCGCTTCACGACGATAACATGCTGTAAAAACCCGGTCACGCGCGGGCTAACCTTAATATAACGACTCGGATGCTGACCATGATTGGGAATATCCCGGTGCGTTTAAAATACTCTGGAGCAAGTTGAACGGTCTGGAACATTATGCAACCTGGTCATGCATACCTTGCTCGACTCCCATCGCGTTGGGGAATAAACGTCCAACATCGGGATGCTTTCCAAAGGTAGATGGGGCAGTACTAAAGATAAACCTGAATCGTTTGCGCGCCTAAAAAAAAGGGAAAAGGCACTGACGCGCTCTGTAACGCGTCAATTTCACCATCGGCAAGCATCTGCGCGAGGCATTTACCCTTGGGGATCGCTTGAATTTTGACGCTTTCGCGTAGATTCAGGGCGACTTTTTCCTTGCGCTCGACATCGCTAGGTTCTACATTCCCGGTGAAATAGTTCGGCGCGTCGTACTTAAGTCCGTATTCATCTTCAAGAATTCCGCGCTGCCAAACGGGTGCCGTCATTTGAAACTCCGGTGTGCCAACATTGCGACCAGCAAGTTGGGATGGGTGCGTTATCCCGGCTTTGGTGTTCACATATATCGACTGATGACGGAAGAAACGGGAGGGGAAAACAGGAATAGCGAGAAAAGGGGGGTCTTGCTCGTTCAGCGTGAGCTGTGGCTGCTAAGCGAAAATTTAAAGAACGGTGGAAATTCTGACGCTTACAATATAAGATGAAAGGGAGAGCTCGCTGATATCGAATTCATGGAAGCGAAGTTGGCGGAAGAAGCTGGAAGGCAGGATGCAATATAATAATATAGAAGCAGATTGGCCAGAATATTAGCAGATGTTAGCTCACGTTTCTTCAACGCGGAGATTCAGGAAGGTCAGGTCAATGCCTTCTGTTTTGACCCGACCGTCCTCAAGAGCCTTGACACGATCGTAGTCCCAACAAGCCAGCGAGAGGTGTAGCATACTAGATGAGAGAGTTGAGATTCAGAAGCGGCCCATCACTCCGGCAACTGTGGGACGCCAAGGAACGCCGCCATCAAGCCGAAGTGATGGTGGTCCTGGTCGCATTGTTCCGGTTGCCGATCAGCGGATATCGCCAAACCCGATCGGGACTTGGAACCGATCGTTGCTTCTTCTCGACATACCAACAAGAGATCCTCGCGTTCGCATTACTGCGACTGGAAACAGGCTGCGTTCACCGCCGAACTTTCTCGCAGGGCTCTGAATCCCGCTCACGCCTCCAGCTGCCCTGAGTTATCGCAGTAACACATGTATCCATTGTGGGGTCCTCCCTAAGTTTTCAAGCCATGAATCGCGACCGTCTCATCGTACATACTACCTAATCAAATTTGTTTTTTCAAAAAGACATGACGACACTTATTTCCCATTCGAGAAGGCCATATCAGGTGAGTTGCTTCTCTCCTTCCTCCCTCCTTCTTTCCCCTAGAGAATACCTCAAGGATGTCCTCCGACAAGCTCGACGTCTTGGACGATAAATCCTCTGGACAGGCTATCGATAAAGTCACCGTCTATCCCCCTGAAGATCTCGAGTCGCGTACGACTCGTTCGTTCGCGCTTTTTCGTATTCTTGACCTTGTATTGCAGAAGCGGTACATGTCAGCCTCGGCGGCGCCGAGAAGGGCTTGAAGCTCGACAAGACCGGCCTCCCTCTCATTCCTCAGCCCTCAGACGATGCGTCCGATCCTTTAAACTTCCCCCAATGGCTCAAGGTACAAGAGTGTGGACTTTCGAGTGTGTGTACTCACGTCCGTATGAACAGGTTGCCATCTTGCTTCAAGTCAGTTTCCTCGCCCTTCTTGGACCCTTGAACCAAGCTACGATCAATCCTGGTAAGAAGTTTTCTAAGGTTGTGGAATATGCGAACTCATCGTCTGTAGCCTTCGTTCCCCTAGCAGCTCACTTCAAGATCTCTACCGTTGTAGCTAGGTGAGTTTCTTGTACCAGTCTAATTCAGAATCCCACATATTTCGCAGCTACCAAACCACAATCGCGATAGGTGCGCGTTTCATTCAAAGATAATCCAAAATCTTATCTCGGTCCTCCATAGCATTCGCCGGCATCGGTTCCTTTGTTTGGGTACCGCTTGCAAACACCTACGGGCGCCGACCCGTCCTCCTCTTCACTACCCTGATCGCAGCCGCGTCATCCCTTGGCTCTGGTAAAGCACTCACCTGGTCCCAGCTCATTGCAACTCGGGTAAGATGGGCCGGGAAATCTCGATGCAGCTTGTTTGACATGTATTCAGGTCCTCAATGGCCTCGGGACTTCGTCATTCTTTACCCTCGGTGCTGGAATGGTGTCCGACACGTTCTTCCTTCACGAGAGGTAATCTTCATCGACGACCGACCGGGAATACAGGTTCATGGATTTTTTTAACAGAGGTCGTGCTCTGGGTATCTTCTCCGTTTTCCTGACCAACTCGGCCCACGTTGCGCCAATTCCTGGTGAGTATTTCGCCATAGCCCAAGTTTACTCTGACACCTTTTTTCAGGTGGTTTTTTGGGCCAGTTCGTCAGCTATAGGTGGTGCTACTATCTCCCGGCCATCCTCGACTTTACAATGTTCGTCGTCATGTTCTTCTGCCTCCCGGAGACGCTCTACATCCGCGGCTCCACACCGGTCGTCACGGATAAGCCGATCCTTCGGAGAATGAAGCTTTGGGGTCTCCGCCCGAAGGGCAAACACCTCAAGGTCTCCGACTTTTTCCGGCAGTTCATCATGTTCGTTTCCTCCTTTTCTCGGTATTCATGCGGTGAATCTAAAGCCTTGAAGGTTCAAGTACCCGACCGTCCTGCTGACGGCGTTTTACTACTCTGTCACATTTACTCTGGCCTCCATCCTACCGGCTGTCACGTCTGCAACTCTCTTCCGTAAGCTGTACCTCTTCAATGCGTCAGAGACCGGTCTTGCTCTCGGTCTCGGCACTCTCATTGGGTCAACTCTTGGGGAGCTACTCGGAGGAATCGTTGTTGACCGATCGATGTACCTCAGTCGCAAAAACAAAAAGGACGGCGATATCGTTCCAGAAGTCAGGTACGCCGGTCTTCTTTTTCCCCCATGTCGACAATTTGACTGATAGCTGTGCAGACTCCAAGGAATTTGGGTGGGGGCTATCCTTCAGCCCGTAAGCTCTCCCGAAACCACTCTTTCAATTACTGACAACACCGCCAGATTGGATTATTGATCTGGGGCTTTTGCATCCAATATAAAAGTGAGTTTTAAAAGCTCTTGCAAGCACTGTGCTTAACACTCCCGCAGCGCCGTACATCGGACCCACCATGGGCTTCGGTATCATGTGCTTTGCGATCCAGTGAGTTTTTTTTTGCCCGTCTATCGATTTACGCCAACCCTCCCCCAGAATTATCAGCACGGTGTTGTATAGCTACAACGCCGACTGCTACAAGCCCCAGACGCCCGAGATCGCGCAAGTCATGAACTTTGGTCGCCAAACGGTTGGGATGACTAGTACGTACTGCCCCCATCCAAGCTCTTCCTCATCTGACCATGTCCCCCCTTCGCGCAGCTGGCTTCTGGGCCATGTCAGTATCTATTTCTCTGCGACAGACATCCGACTGACATTTTCCACAGTGCTCTGGGCAACAAAATCGGGTTCCAATTCATGGCGGTCACATTGGCCCTCGTCAGCGCCGTCGCGTTCATCCCCATCGTCGTCTTTATGTTCCACGGGAAAACCATCCGTGATAGGATGGGCGCCCCAAATTACAACCGCTCTCTTTGATATAGATGCTGCTCGTCCTGTCTCTTCCCCATATACCTCACACTCTCTTGTAATTCTTAAATGTACATTCTTCTTTAGGGTCCTTCGTTTAGGGATTGTTTAGTAGCTACGGTTTAATTTTTTCTTGCTGCCCTCTAGCTTGCCTTTAAGAATTGCCTCCATTTCGTGAAAACCAAAAAAAGGAGGTGGTCACTGTAAATGCTATATCTCGGTCAGAACTTGCCCGTTTGCCTTCAAACCGGGCACAAACGATGCGGACGCTTCCTGCGTATACGATGAGGATAAATATCCGGTGGCAAAATTAATAAAAACTGAGGAAAAGAGCTGCAAAAACGACGTGAGCAGGATTTGAACCTGCGCCCGTGTCCTGTTGAACTGGTGCGAAACCCGGAGACGTTTTTTATTCGAACCCTGGCAGCGTCGTCGGCTACACATGGAAACCACTCGGTCATGGCATGACCGTCTTTTGGAACCACTCGGCCATGGCCTCAGCGGAACAAACAATGTGTTGGATTGAACAAATAAACCTCGGCCGCCGCCCTCGTGTTCTCAGCAGAACAAATAAACGTTTCAATTGGAACAAATAAAATTCTTGGCCTCTCAACGCAGATAAAAACGATAAACCTCATGTTCTCAGAAGAACAAATAAACGTTTCAACTGGAACAAACAAAACGACACCCGTAGGATTCGAACCTACGCGGGAAAATCCCAATAGATGGTCACGACCTGGCACAGTCACGCCGTTGCACAGTCACGGATTCTAATCTATCGCCTTAACCACTCGGCCAGGGTGTCTGTTGTGTGTTCTGTTGGCGAGAATCTCAGCCGTACAGCGTCTGTTCCAGCAACCTGAAGTATCACCTTCACTGCCCATCCTCCAGCGGCGTGCGGGGGCTTCTGACTGATAAGAGTTTTGATTTGCAAGAGGAGAGCCTGGCCTGCCAACACGCTGTCCGCCCATCAAATGTCGGGCGGTAATAGATCTTGAATAGATCCGAGACTTTGTTCGTTGGAAAAGAATCCTCCTCGGAAGGAATGTTCTAATCTGTCGCCTTAACCACTCGGCCATCGCGCCTTTTTCTTGGTACATAGATAAAGCAGTAGATTCTGGGTGGAGAAGCAGAATCGTGGTCGACAATTTCCTCGCAGCCAGGAAAACAAGCGGATGTTGAGCGGATGACTGTAGAATTCTGTGGACGAGGCTCCGGGGTCCACTCACGCATCGGAGGATTGAATTGAAGGGCCGGAGACTTGAGATACGATGGAACTTGGGAATAACGCCACTTTCCCCTGTTTTAAACTTCCGGATCTCTCACATTACTCTCCCCCCTCATTTTTGGGATATCGGGGATAGCCCCATGCCGACGCCTCGCCGTTAAAGTGAGTTTGATGGCCAAACTGCCTATTTGGGATGCGGAAGGTTGTTTGTTTGTGCGTGTGTGTGCGACTCCACTGCGCTCCACTCTGACAGTCCCGCCGGCGAGATACTAGGAGATACTCTCGGAGACAAATACCCAACGCTTAAGCGACGAACTAGCGACGATTTGAGATCTCGTCATCGATCTAACATATGCAAGATGGATCAGTGAGATTTAAATTTAGAGCTCCACTCTGGCAGTACATATGTAGATAAGATGAGAGATGAACGATAATCAAAGCTTCGCCTGTGTCACCATTGCGCCTCCGTGCTGCAGCACCGCCGCGGCCTCCTCTACCATATTGTCGACGATGACCTGGCCCACTCATGAGCTCGTCGCATTTATTGACACGGGAGTGGCGGCTTACCTTGGCGGGCAATACCTCATGTATGAGCTGGGTCAACCTGTGAGCGGCGCCAAAATATAACTCATCAGACAGGACGCACAGCAGCAACACTCCCGATCGGCCACCGCCCGCCCTCGGCCATCTTCTCTGGGTGGTTCTCCATCTCGTGCGCGTGCGGGATGACGCCCTTGGACGTCAGCGCCTGGATCTCCGCCTGCCGATTTGTGTTCCTGCATCGCAGTTCAGCGTCAGCACCCAGTGCCCGTAGGGCGACCCACCAGTCGTCAATGTACGGCGTGCGCCTCACACGCATCGGCCGCCCGCTGTATATCAGCGTCGTCACCGCGTCGTCGAATCCCGCGCTAATCACATGGTCTTTGTGCACCTTGGGCGCGCTCGCCTCCACGGACGCGAGGAAGCGCGTGCCCACCCCTGCGCAGATCCACACATTCGTCAAAGCGGCCGCAGGGGACGAAACCAAAGCGACTCACACACCGCCTGCGCGCCCCAGCTCAAATTCGCCGCGAGCCCGCGCCCGTCGTACACCGCGCCCGCGCCGACGACGTACACGGGCTTTCCCGTCAGCGGCGACGCGTGCCCCTTGACAGCGTCCACGCACGCGGGGATGAGCACGCTCGCCGCGATGGTGCCCGTGTGCCCGCCCCCCTCCGCCGCCTGCGCGCAAATCAGGTCCACCCCCGCCGCGAGCGCCTTGGCAACGTGCTTCGGGTGGCCGACCATGTTCATTATCTGTCGCGTGACAGATTTAACTACTTGAGGATAATGAGAGAGAAGAGGGCACTGACAGGTATCCCCGCGCCGTGTAGCCGCTCGACGACGTCCCGCGGGGGCACGCCGATCGCGCATACGAACAGCGCCGTCTTCTCCTCTACGATCACCTCGATCAGCTCCCGCAGGTTGCCCTTCGTGTAGTCGTACTGAGGAATCCCTCATTATCACAAGTACTTCAATAAGCAACAGAGGCCCAAACGCACATTCGTCTTCCGCGCGCTCCCGCCGACCTGCGGGACGAGCAGATCCACGCCAAACGGCAGGGTTTTATCGACCAAATCCGCCTTCAGCGCCCGGATCTACATGGCGATCAAAGCGCGTTCAATCCCCGTGATCGCGCCTACCTGCTCCCGCAACGCTTTGGGCGTGTACCCGTACCCGCCAATGACGCCCATTCCACCTGCAGCGATGAGTCAGCTCTTCCGCGTGTGCGTGTGCGCCCGTGTGCGCCCGCGCGCGTATACAAGGAGTTACGGTATGCATTTACGCACCTGCATTACTGACGGCAGCCGCGAGCTCCGGGCCCGCCGCCGTGTCCATCCCCGCGAGAAACACGGGGTGTCGCATCCCGAAGAGCGCCGTTATGGGCGTCGATATGCGCGCGGTCGTCATTGCCGTGGTGCAGCAGCTAGTACTTCCTCAAGCTTCGGGCAAGTACTCACGTACGTGGAGGAGGGAGGTGGTGGGATCGCGAGGGTAATAGAACGCTGGGAGTAGTAATTGAGACGCGGACGCGGACGGGAAGCCTGTAGGGTAGGGTGGGGGAGAGGGGGATGTGGAGCCTACGGAGAAGCTGTGCTCGCTATATGTGGGCGTGCGGTGTTATAAATGTAGGATCTCCGCGGAGGCCGGTGGGATCACGATAAATAAGTTTGGGCGCTTTGGGCCCGCGCGCGAGGTGGTGTGGCAGCGATGGAACGAGCACCGGTCAGTGTCTCTTCTCGCCGCGGGAACGACGAAGAAGAACGCGGGTTGGGAAGGGAAGCAAAGGATCGACATCTGAAGCGAAAACTCATGTGGAATGGGGACAAGGAATAATTAGACTGCGAGTGTTGTCGCCGCAAGGGTCAGCTCATCGCTGAGTCTCAGCCCCGAAAGGAGTTCAAGTAGAAGCAGGCCCGAGCGGGGTTCCGAACGCGACGCGTGGGCCGCCGCTAGCCCTCGCTAGGACCAGTCCTGTGATACCCGTGATGTATGTAGGGCCTTGCGCAGTAGTTGTTCAACCACAAATAAAGGACTCACGCAGGGTCGGGAAATCATTCAAACGGGCGTGAATTGAAGTACATTTATTTGCCTATAAATTATAACCTGTAATGTATGTTGTCTCTTGGGAGATTTACTTTTCATGGTGCGACTGTCTCCTGCGGCGTCGCCGTCGACGAAGGAGGGGTCGAAGTCGATGCAGGAGGCGACATGGCGCGCGCCTTGGCCTGGGCCTCGTGGAAGCGCCGCGCGGAGGCGAGAAAGTGGGCGGACGTGAGCCCGCTGTCGGGCATTCCGTGGAAGACGCCGTCCTTGTCTTTGTGAGATATCCACACGCGCGGGGCGACGTAGGGTTTCAGCTATCCGCACGCGTCAGTTTCAGCCATGCATTGAAGAAGAAAAGGCGGACCTTGGAGTTGAGGATATCGTCGATTGGCGGGGCGACGAATACACGGACGCGGTCTTCGAGGAGGCGGTAGCCCGGGCGGGAGTTTATGTGCACCCCGGGGGCGCCGGTGCGGTGGCCACCTGGGAGCGCGGATTGACGGTTTCCTGAGGCGAGTTATTAGAAGAAAAAAAGTCAAGTAAAAAAATGGGCAATGGACCCTTGTAAAAGTCCTTGTTGGCGCGAAAGGACTGGAGAACCCTGCGGCCTTGCGTCCGGGGACTCACAGAGAGTCTCGCAGTCGGGTGCATCGAGAGAGGTCACGAACAGTCACACCAGACAACACGATGGGGAAGAAGGGTTCGACGACGCCTGGGACGAGTTCGCGGGGTAAACGCGGACGCAGCGGGGGTGGGCGCGGGGGTGGGCGCGGGAACTCTAATCTCAAGGGAAGGGAGAGAGTCCGGACAGATGGCAGGCCGGAGAGCGCCGTCGACGAGGTCAGCGACCAGGACGACAACGACGGTCTGTGTACACTTTCTCTTTCTCATTTATTCTCAATTTTCTGATCAGAAGACGTCGACGACGACGACGCTCAAGTCAGCATCGACGTCCCCGTCGCGATGTGGGTGCGTCTTTCAAAAAAAAAACATTGTGAAGCAAGTCAACGATGAGCTAGGACTTTGACCATTGCGACCCGCGACGCTGCTCGGGCAAAAAGCTCGCCCGCCTCGGGCTCATCAGCGAGCTCAGGGTCGGCGCTCGCTTCCGCGGCGTCGTAGTCTCGTGAGCGCGTCCGTCTCTACCCGTGCCGCCATACCCCAACTCATTTATTTATCCAGGCCCAAAGGCACACTGCCCATCTCCCCCGCCGACCGCGATTTTATCCTCAAAGGCGGGCTCGCCGTCGTCGAGTGCTCTTGGGCGCGTCTCGACGACGTCCCCTTTGCCAAAATCGCGAGCCCCCATGAGCGCCTGCGTGCGTCGTCCTCCCTAAACCATCCGAACAATACTCATGTCCACCCCAGTACCCTACCTCCTCGCCACAAACCCAACCAACTACGGCAAGCCCTGGCGCCTCAACTGCGTCGAGGCCCTCGCCGCCGCCTTCTACATCACCGGCTTCCCCGCCTACGCCGAGCGCCTCCTCAGCGGCTTCGGCTGGGGCTCCGCCTTCTGGCGCGTCAACCGCGCGTTCTTGGAGCGCTACCAAAAATGCGCGAGTGCGGCGGAGGTGGAGGCCGCGCAGGCAGCGATCATGGACGAGCTCGAGCAGAGCTGGGAGGAGTCGAGGAGGGGCAAGGGTAGGGTTTTTAATCCAATCCAATTGGAGTCGGTATTGATTATTCTGCAGAGCGCACCCCGGGCGAGGAGGAGGACCTCCTCGTTGCGAATCCGAACCACATCCAGTCCGGGTCTGAGTCGGGTTCGGATGAGGACGAGAACGAGGATGAAGATTCGGATGCCCCGCGACCACTGTTAAGTGACAAGGACGAGCAGGACGAGATTGTGCGGGACATGCGGGCGTTGGAAGTGACATGATTAACGTCTGGTATATGTATTCAAGAACCCAATGAGAGCGATTCCAAACGCCTGCGAGCACGAACCTAAGTCATTCGCTGGCATTCAATCTGCCGGACGCTACAGCGAG